GGTGAGATGCACATGATCCGGGAAAGGACCAGGCTGACTGGGCTTGGCTTCTGCAGGTTTGGGGTGGCGGGGCAGTGGAGGGGGACTGATGACCCTCAGCCTGGCCTCAGAGCTTGGAGGCTGGCGGGTTCTGGCTCTGTTTGTGAGGGAAGCCCCCAGGCTGAATTGGGAGTGGACAGGCCTTAGGCCAGGTGCCGTGGGACCCACTGCAGTCCCTAGCCAGTGGGTGGGGGGAAAACGTCAGGAGCCTGACAGTCGCCCACGGCTACGGATCAGTGTGGAAGATGATCAGTGATGAAATCTCTTGTGGTCCAGATTGTCCAGGCCACCCGAGTGGAGGGATGAGGTCCAGAACCCCATGGTGTGGATGCATCTGCTGTTGAGCAGCAGGGAGCCCTTTCCCACCAAGTAGTCTTTCCTAGGGCCCTCCACGGCTGTGAGGGGAGGCTCGGCGGGTAGAAGCGGGGTCTGGGCTGATTCTTGGCCAACTGTCTGCCTTTGTGCTTCTTGAAGACCGTTAAGGCATGTGTGGGTGGCTTTTCTAACTTATCTTACTGCTTTGGCTTTTCTGTAAAACCTTTATCTTGGGGCGAAGAGGCCATCAGCTTCAGTATTGTTTCTAGTTTCTCTGGCAGAGAAGCATACTGGGCAGGTGTTTGGTGGCTGATTGAACCAGTTCCGCCTCCAGGCTGTTTCCCAGTCTGCCCCTCCAAGAGGCTTTCCAGTTCCTTGACACCTTGAGGTCCCAGGGTCCCCACCCTCACTCAGGAGTCAGGCCCAGACCGGTTCCAGCACAGTGACTGTGCAGGACATAATTTTCCTGAGCCCCCGCTGTCATCTGCCTGTCTCAGAGATGAGCACGGAGCCCAGGCCAGTTCTCTCTGCTTCTTTGAAAGGGGCACAGGCAGGCGCAGAGTGGATTTACAAGATTAAGTTGCCCTAGGAGATTGAGGAGTCTTTCCCCAGCCATTCTCCACTTCGATCACTCTGGGACCCCATTCTCTTGACCCAGTAAGGGTGGGTCAATTGGCTTCTCACTGTAGCCCTTAAGTGGTGTCTGAGTTTGTTGAAGGCTTGTCTTTTGAGGTATAAAAATGTTTTGACCCAGTAACCCTATTTCTAGGATTTATTTTGAGGATACAGTTCAAAATGCAGAAATAATTATGCTGTATTAAACGATGCTTATCAATATAATAGTATGGGGGAAGCCTCCATATGTGCCCGCCTGGGATGATGCCTGGGTGGGTGTGCTGCCAGTGCAGGCGAAGCAGGAGGTCCAGGGAAGCCAGCCCGAGGCTCGGGAGTGCTGGGTACCCTGTCTGTCAGGCCAGAGTGGACATGTCCTGACTGCACTGTGGCCACGCTGTGTCTTTGTTTTTTGTTTTTTTTGTTTTTTTTTTGTTTTTTTTTTTTGTGTGTGTCTTTGTTTAACATAAAGATGGCAAGGACCAGAAGGAAGTACAACAAACCTGATGCAAGTTGTGTGCACCTAAGTCACATCTGGAACAAATGTGTACAGTACAATAGGATAATGTGTGACAGCAGGATATGGATGAGGAGGTGGATAGGGCAGGTGGCTGGCCCAGCTAAGGCGGGGTTGGGCTCTCTGTCCCAGGGAGAGGGGCCTGTCTCTGCCCTCCTGCACATATTTTCTGTCCTTTTTCCTCTTTAAACAAAACAACGGTTTAGAAACAAACAAAACCTCTTTTCTGCTTCCTGGAGTGTTCAGAGAAGGTCTGTTGTATCCTGAGATATTTGGATAGCTGAAGGCACCCTTTCCAATGCCTGTGGTCTGTTCACAGCAGCTCAGGTAGAGATTTTTCTCTGCCGTACTTCCTTTCCCACCATTACCAACGGCAGAGTGTAAGTATAGTTTAACTTTTCTTTAGTGCTATCCTCAGGCCCTCCAGGAAGGACAAGCCTTCTGCCCCATATAGGGGAACCTCTGTTGACCCCCTTCTCATGTCGTCTCCTCCCTGCCTCTCCCGTCACCTGTGGGAGCTAGGCAGCTGAGCTCACAGGTGCCGGGTTTTAGAACGAGTGAGCAGGCCCTTGTGCGTGGGTCTCCTCTGCTCCTTGGTGAGGATCCTGGCTGGCGGTTCCAGGACAGCTAGGGCACCTGCCTTGTGCTCTGCACAAGGCAGGTCCCATGCCAACCTGCTGCCCAGGTGGGTCTGAGGAGCACAGGAGACCTTCTCAGGATGCCTCAAGCTGGTGCCGGGGGGTGAGCCCATTGACCTCCTATGCCAGACTCTTGTCCTCTCAACTCATGGCCAGAAGCCACAGCCTTGAGTCTTTACGTTAGGAATGCCATTGCCCCTGATCAGGGGAGAAGTCCTGAGGGGAGACTTATCTTGCCATCAGTCACTAGCCTACAATGGCTTGTAAATATGGGTAGCTATAAGTTTTATTTCATTGGTGCTGTTTTTGTTTTTTGTTTTTAAGATTTTATTTATTTAATCATGAAAGACACCCAGAGAGAGAGGCAGAGGCAGAGGGAGAAGCAGGCTCCATGCCAGGAGTCCGACGTAGGACTCCATCCTGGGTCTCCAGGACCACACCCTAGGCTGAAGGCGGCGCTAAACTGCTGAGCCACCGGGGCTGCCCTTGTTTGTTTGTTGTTTTAATATTTTATTTATTTATTTATTTTAATTTTTTTTAAATTTATTTATGATAGTCACAGAGAGAGAGAGAGAGAGAGAGAGGCAGAGACACAGGCAGAGGGAGAAGCAGGCCCCATGCACCAGGAGCCCGATGTGGGACTCGATCCCGGGTCTCCAGGATCGCGCCCTGGGCCAAAGGCAGGCGCCAAACCGCTGCGCCACCCAGGGATCCCAATATTTTATTTATTTATTCATGAGAAACAGAGACAAAGAGAGAGAGACAAAAACATAGGCAGAGAGAGAATCAGGCTTTATTCAGGGAGCCCGATGCAGGACTCCATCCTAGGACTCCAGGATCACTCCCTGAGCCAAAGGCAGACGCTTAACTGCTGAGCCATCCAGGCATCCCTCATTGGGGCTATTTACTTAAATCTCAACTAGGAGATCCCTGGGTTGCTCAGCGGTTTAGTGCCTACCTTTGGCCCAAGGCATGATCCTGGGGTCCTGGGATTGAGTCCTGCATCAGGCTCCCTGCATGGAGCCTGCTTCTCCCTCTGCCTGTGTCTCTGCCTCTCTCTGTGTGTGTCTCTCATGAATAAATAAATAAAATCTTAAAAAACTCAAACTATATTTAAATCATGCAAAAGAACATTGTAACGTATACATAAGTTAGGCAGGATGCAGGGAGTGGATTGCAGGACACCCCACCACTATCACCATCATTAAGAACTCACCTCCACCCTTGGGGCCCCTTCCCTCCCAAAGGGAGCCCCCGCCCTGTACTTGGACAGGAATGATTGCCATCTTTCATTTTTACCACTTCTCATCTCCTCTCTGGGCAAGGCCCACTAGCTGTGTGATGTCTCTGGAGATGTTGCTGGCCATCCGGTCAGTGGGGGCCAGGAGGCTGGAGCTGAGAGGGCACACGGGCTCCTTGAGGCCCAGGGAGGAGCTTTGCAAAGAAAGTGACTATGGATGTGCTCTCTGGAGCTCTGTCCAAGTCCAAGTGAATCCTGGTGTGAACTGAGAGAAAGCAGGATGTGGTGTTGAATTGTGGTGGTAACACCTCCACTTGTTGCCCTGGGGACCTTCTGTACGTGGCTTCTAAGTGCTGTTGGGCCTGGCCACCTGGACAGCTGGAACTGCCTGGGCCTGTGCAAGCTGGGCAGCACAGCTTTCCTGGCTTTGGGTGAGAAATTAATCCCCCTTTAGCATCTTGACAGCAGCTTGTAAAGAGCCTGGGGTGGTGCTGGCCTTGGGAAGGGAAGGCAGGCAGGCAGAGGAGTCTTTGCATGCATATCCCACATCCGAGGATATTTTGTTTCAAGTAAATCACACAGCAGGTTTGCAGGCAAGGACTTGCCTGTGAGGTTCATGGTCACAGACGTTGCTGCCCGTGAGCAGAACACTGAGCTCAGAACTGGGAGGTATTTCCTGGGCGTCTCTATTGCCAAAACATCTAGCTTTGTGAGTACCTTTTCTGGCATTTACTTTACGTGTGTCCCAAATCCATCACTGCATCTGCTGGGGGTCACGGGACGGGCTGTGGCTGTGGCTTCCTTGTCCCTTCCAGTGGGCACGGGGCTGGAGAGGACTTGATTAATTTTGGCAAATGCCCAGGTTCCCTATCCTGTGGGCACCTTCCCAGCTCTTGTGCTTCGAGACTGTGGGACAGAAGTTTCTCCCATGACCAGACTTACCCTGGGGTCTTCTGTCTCACCAGCATATCTCCCTTGTCCTGGACCTGCAGCCGCCACTTCTGTTATGTGTCTTGGCCACTGCATGGGGTGGGCTGCCACAAATGGGGACCTTGCTCTGACCAGGGAGGGGGAGGGGCCCCACTCTGCCGCTGACCACCTTGGGTCGTGGGGAGGGTGACACGAGACAAGATCTCTGTGGCAGTTGTTCGCTTCTGTGCTGTGCCAGGGGAAGACAGGGTGGGGAGGTAAGCTGGCAGCCATTTGTCACAAGTTCAGAGGAAGGTGTGCGCCCCCCAGCAGCAGGCTCTGGGAGAGCTACTGCCTCACCTGACTTGGGAGTTGGTGCCCCTTGAGGGTGGCCTGTGGCCATGCAGGTTTGGCTGCCTGTCCCTTCCTTCCACCCCTTATGGGTGTCGTTCTGGCTGTGGGGCCTGCAGTGGCTGTGCAGGAATGCGGTGGCGTGTTCTGACAGGCTGCTCTCCTCCTCTCTCCTTGGGTCCTCAAGAAGCGGCACCACCCCCAGCAGGTGCGGTTCCCTCTGCACCACCCCCTCCCGCCTCTCCCGGGCCCTCTGCCGCTCTGCTGGAGTTCTCTGCTGGACTTCTGCTGGTGGGAGGGCTGGTGTGGCCTTGCCCGGCTACAGGTGGCCCCTCCCTCCACACCTCCAGGTCCCGCTAACCGCTTGCCTTTGGTTCAGTTTCCAGGCCGAGCGGCCCGCGCTGAACGTTGTCATCTTCCCTCTGCTCCACGAGGGCCTGACCAATGTCATCCGGGACGTCCCCATGGTGCACCTGGATGAGATCACCTTATTTAAAAGCAGAGTGGCTGAGGAGCCACCGAACCTGTGGTGGTGACGGGGACAGCTAGCCCTGGGCGAAGCTGTTTCCAGCAGCCAAGCCTCCTGCCTGCCACTTTCACCTCTGTTTGTCTCCTGGGCTTGGAAGCGGGACTGCCCTGACTGGTGGGCGGCCTCACTACTGCCACTCACCGCCTGCCCCTGCTGGACACCAGGGCCCGTCAGGTCACAAGAGGAAGGACTTCCCCTCTGCCCGGACATTCTGTGTCCCCATTGTCCCCCAGAGCCTCCTGATGTGTCCTCTCAGTCTCTTGGCACTCAGTGAAATGTGGAGCTCATCTATGAGGAAGATGAGAAGGAAGAGCTGGTTGTCTGGGTGACCTGCGGGGCCTGCTGTGGGTGTTCCTGAACTGAGACTCACATCCGTCATGGAGCGCTGACTCCCAAGGGGCCCTGACCAGGTACTCAAGGCACCACAGGGCCCTGGTGCTGCCACTCAACTCTCCAGGGTATCTCTGCTCATGTGTCCGTGGCCTCCTGCTTTCAGGCTCTGTGGAGGAGTGGTCTCGGACCCAGGGCTGGGGGTGATGGTGTGTGTGTGGATGGACGCACTCACACTGGGACATGATGGCACGGCTGGTGACTGTGTGCCCAGTGCCCCCCTCCTCAGGCCAGCTGGGAGCACGATGCAGTGAGGAGCTCCAGATTTAGGGTTGTCCTTCCCAGCAAGACATGTTTTAACCCAATTATGTCTCCAGTATGTTACCAGCCAGATGGTGTCAGACCAGTTCAGGGCCCCTGGCTGGGCAGGGACCGGACCCCCCCTAGAGCTTGGATTGCAAGATGAGGCCCAAGGTGTAGGGCCTGCCCTACAGCCAGCATGGCACTCAGCTTTAGAACCTTTACTCCGTGAAGATCTGTGTTTCTGGGGAAATACAAACCTGGCTTCATTCAAGAAACTTGAAATATTAAAACTTAGAAAGGACATTTAAGGACAGAGTAGTGATCAGACTATCCCGTTTCATATAGCTTTATTCAGCACTTTAAAAAATTCAGTGCAGCTATTCCAAAAATGGGGAGTGACCTCCCAGTGTCCAGGGCCTCCCTGTGCTGAGCCCACTGCCTTCTCGACTGCAAAACTCTTCCCCAGAGCCCATTAGCCCCTTGGCTGATGGCCTCCGAGGGGCTGTGATCAGGTTCCCTCCACTGCAAGTCCAGCCTTCACCCTCTCGGTGATGCTCCTGGAGACTTGCAGATGATGCTGGACACTGTTGGGCAGCTTCCAGCCAGGGGCATGTCAGTCCTGGAGAGGCTGCCTCCCCAGGACTCCTGGCCTCCCTTCCCCTTTAGGTTGGGGGTGCAGAGTCCACCAGGTCCTGCTCATGCTGCTGTCCATCTTGGCCACTATCGGCTGTGGGGCCCCTGGACTGGCCATCTTCCCACTTTGTGTCTGTGGTGACCCCTCCCCATTCTGTGTAGTGTGCCCTGTAGCTTCCCTACTAAAAGACCAGGTTGTGGCCCCTGGGCTTTTCATTTCCTTTCCTTCCGTGGGTTTTTTTTTGGGGGGGCACACAATTCAGTAACCCCCAGTCCCATGGAGTGGAGGGGATCTAGGAGGCCAGACAGCCACTGCAGGCATCAGTCCCCCCAGGGTCAGGCCCTAGGAGGAACCATCTGTCTGGTGGGCTCTGCTCTCTCCTCCCTGCCCCTGTCTAAGAACACAGGGGTCACTTCCCTCCTTGCTTGCCCTGGGCTGTGGCTGGCAGTTCTTTGCAGCCTCTCTGCAGGCCACCCGCACACAAATTCCTCCAGCCTTCACCTTCGATGTCCCGATGTGGTCTGAGCCATGCCTGGCCTTACAGGGCAAGGGACAGGCTGCCCTGGGGCATGGGAGATAGGGCTGAGGTTCCTGGAGGGCCTCATGGCTGTAGACGAGGGTCTGAGAGTTGGTGGGTGCACCTCCCCTCCCCAGTTTTGGGGTATTTCTTTCAGGTGGTGTCCAGAGACCTACAGGCAAGGATGGTTAGGAAGGGTGGTAGGGGACTGACCACTCCTTATCCTCGAAATAAGGGTGTGGCTGGTCACAGCCTGACTGGCAGGGCAGTGTCATCCCGGGGGCAGGGGGAGGTGGCCCAGGGACTGGGGTGGTTCTGGGTGCCCTTCTCTTCTCCAGAGCAGCTCCGGAGGCTCAAGCTGGAGAGTGAGCTTTCCACTAGGAGGTTGAAGGCTGCGATTGTGTAATGTTCACGTACTCTCCCGGATGGTCTGTTCTCAAGAGCAAGCAGTTTTAACCAGCAGCATCACTTGTGCCAACAAATAGGGCCGGGAGGGGCTGTTCACCTGAGGCTGGGGAGCGTGAGCTGCTGTGGAAAGCCGCCCCCAAACAATAGACCTTGTAGTTTTAGTGTCTCTGTAACCATCCTTCTGCTAGAGCAGGAACTTCCATGTCTTCTACACCCGAGACAGGACTCACCAGATGTTAATAATGTGCTTATTCTTGCTAAGTGCTGTTTTGGCAGCGGTGTTAATTGCAATTTATATTCTGCAGCATTTTATGCTGGGAAAAGAACCCACCCTAATGGTCCCCAATTGGCAGAACTGGCTGTTAAGTGTGGACCATATGCTGCCTGCTGGGCGGGGCCTGGTCAGCACTGGTGGCTGTGCGTGTGTATGCGTGCATGTACATCTGCATGCACACACATGAGTGTGGCCTGCTGGGTACATGTGCATGGTGTGCACGCGTGTGCGTTTCTGCATGTGATCAAGTGTGTGCTTGCGCATGTGTGTGTGCGTGCGTGTGTGTGTGTGTGAGAGAGAGAGAAAGAGAGAGAGAGGGAAGAAAGACAGTGGGAGGTGGTGGTGGGATGGAGAAGAGATCAGGGCATTTATCTGTTTGTTAAAATAAAAGCCCCTGCCCTCCCAAGGCCTCTCCTCCCACCTGTGCCCACCTACCCCTAGCACCCTGTGGGTTGCTCCTCCCCCTCTGCTTGCCCCCTCCTCCTCTCCCTCCTCCTCCTCATGTGCCTGATCCTGGGGCTCTGACTTGGATGCCATACCATCCCACAACCTGGCCGGAGGGTCTGAAGGTGCTCTCGAGGGGAGGCACTTGGAGCCTGAGGAGAGCAGAGGCCTGCAGCCTCCCTTCCCTGCCAGTGGCATTTCATTCTCATGTGCAAGTATTTTTACTTCCCAGCCCAAGGAGGCTGGACTAGGGACACTTGACTCTGTCATATGCTCCAGGGGTTGGGTCTTATCCCTGCCTGTCAGCTGTCCTTGAGGAACCAAGAATTCATGGATCTGGGCCCCTGTGTCCACCAGGCTGCTCGGGCCCTGGGATGACCCCCACACACACCTCGGACAGCTCTGTGAGGCTGGGTGTTGAGGACAATGCCCCCTTAACCGCCCCTGCACCGAGACCCACGGCTGTAGGCCACTTGGCCGAGAGGATGAAGCTTGGTGGAGGTCTGGCCGGGAAGGCTGGGCCAGGGGTGCAGGGCCGCAGGAGCTGCAGGACCCGGATGTCTAGTGGCCCTCATGGGTCTGAAACCAACACAGTGCCATCCTGATCGTGCCAGCTGCCTTCCCTGAGTCTGTCAAGAAGGCACTGATCCCATGGCCTCCCCCTACCTTGCAGGAAGGGAACCCTCCCGTGGATCCACTGTCACAACGTCCTCCTAGGGACACTGGGGGTGCAGTGGGCAGCCTCCTGCTCCCACCGGCCTTTATGATCTGCTCCTCGGGGGTTTGAGAAGTGCTGAAGCCTTGTAAGGAAAAATAAGAAATGAGAAATTAGTGGATGAGGATAATGCGGTGTGGGCTGTGGTGGCAGATTTCATTGGTTTCAGCCCGCAAACCTGAGGTGCTGGAGGCGTGGAAGGGGACATGGGTGCCCACACTGCCTGTGGCCTTGGCCCTGAGCCTCCTCTGCCTCTTTGACAGGAGGGGGCAGGATTGTGCAGCAGGGGCTCTGGTGCTCTCACAGTGCCAACCGGCCTCATTCACATTGGGGGTACGAGATTCTCAATGGGAGTCTCTGAGGTCGCCGACACAGGCTGGATGGTGTTGCCTGAATGTCTAAATTACTTTCTAGAGCTCTTTCAGAAACCATGGGGTGGGTGGGCGTTGCATTCGTGTCTCGGGGTTCAGGCACCCCATGCGCCCTGCTCTGGGCCAGCCGGCCGGGGAATGGAGGGGTGTGGTGTGAGGTCAGGGAGTCATGGCCACCACCTGGGAGGCTCAGTCTGTGGCCGAAGCTACTGCTCGGCTAAACCTGAGAGGGGCTGGTTTTCCCTGACATCCTAATGGTGTGGGCCGGAGGCTCTGCTGTGCTCACCGGAGTGGGAGAGTGGGCTGGGGGGCAAGGGGGTGAGAGAGGCGGCCACGTGACCGTGCTGCAGGTGGGGTGTCCCACCCTAGGACCGGCCCCGCTGCCACCACTGCCTGTCCGTGTGACTGACCGGAAGCAGTTGAGCTCAGCATGTTTTTAAAGGGGGTGGGGGGTGAGTCGGTGGGGGGCTCACGGTATGTGGTGACCAGGTGCTAAGTGACCAAATATGTGTCACCTGCCTTTCCACACAGATCTCCTTTTCCGACTAGCGATGCCGACTCCTGAATTTTGTGTTCAAATGACATTTTGAATGGGTATTTTCATGTAAACTCGTGGCATGTGGAAAGTTTCAAATAAAGTGGACTTGATTTAGAAAACCAGACGATCATGCAGTCCTTCCGCTGGGGACACCCCCTGACCTTTCCCCTGCGACCTTCCTCAGCCCTGGGGGTGGGACAAGGCGGGGAGAGGGGGTGCTCATCACCCTCGGCTATTCTGACTTTGGGGTTTACTGCTTGGAGACATGAGACCCCAAGGGGGGTCTGCACCTGCCTGGAACCCCCAGGAGGCAGCTGCTTGGATCAGCCTTCACAGGCTGGGGAGGGAGCTGTGGGTTGCTGGGCTGCGGGAAGAGCTGGTGGTCTGGTTGGGCGGTACACGGGGGCATGGCCGGGCCAGAGCTGTGCTCTGTTCCCCAGTGACAGCTCGGGCCCTCATGCTGCCTGGTGGCCCACTGACAGGGGTGGAATATGAGGACCGTGGGGCTGTGTCCATTTTATTTTACATGTGTATATATAATTTTTTTTGAATGGTGGTAAAATATATATAACAGCATTTACTATCTTCACCATTTCTTTTTTTTTTTTTTATCTTCACCATTTCTAAGTGTCCAGGGGCATCGAGCACATTTGTGCTCCTGTGCAGCCACTACCCCTGTCCTGGCTCCAGAACGTTCCATCCCCCCACACTGAGACTCTATCCTGATATGCACTAACCCCCTTCCCACTCCCCAGCACCACCATCATCCGCTGTCTCTTTTGAGTCGGACGACTCTGCAGACCTCAGGATTTGTCCTTCTGGGACCCAGCTTATTTGCAGCATCTGTTTTAGGCAGAAACGTCCTTCACCAGACCTGGGCTCTGGGAAGGGGTTCTGGTAGCAGCGTTGAGGGGGTGGAAGGTGGCAGCTGAGCCAGAAAGACCAGGGCAGGAATGGGGAGCCTGGATTTGGGAGGGGCCAGGGTCCCCAGGATGCTGCGGGACAGAGGGATGAGGATAGGGCTGTGAGGTGGGCCGAAGAGGGCTTGGCTCTCCTCCTCACTCCCTACCTGGTCCTCCAGAAGAGAGCCCCTAAGGCAAAATGGCGATTTGGGGGCAGGGGCCTCCATCCCTCCCAACTGTCCCAGCCAGTCATCAGGCTTGGCATGCACCTGCTGCAGCAATCCCCACAATGCTCCACTTCTGCCCAGAGCCACTGAGAAACGGAGAAGACAGAGCTTGAGGGGTTGGCTGTGACCTATCCAGGAGGGACAGGACTGATCTGGTGCTGCCCAAGCCAGACTAGACTGTGGGAACCTAGGAGCAAGAAGTCCCAGCGGGTTTGCTTCAGACACACGTGTGACCCGGTCATTAGGGTGACAGGTAAGTGGTGGTGCGGGGTTGGGGAGCCGGGGTTGGGGAGCCAGGGCTGGGAAACCATGAGGTATAGGCCACTGCTGCTGTATGACAAGCCATACTGAGTCAGAGTGTAGACGAGCAATTGGGAGATGCTCATGGCTTCCACGGAGCAGGTGTTTGGGCAGGGCACAGCCTCAGCTTCCTGGTGTCTAGGGGCTCTTCTGAGGGCTGGAATCTTCTGGAAGCATCTTAACTTAGGCGACAGTGGTTGGTGCTGGCTCTTGATGAGGACCTCAGCTGGGCTTGTGGCCAGGACACCAACGTGTGGCCTCTCCATGTGGTCTGTCCACCTGGGCTAATTGGGTTTTCTCACAGCATGGTGGTTGGGCCCCAAGAAAACCTGGAGGTTGTGCCCTTGGCTTGGACATCCCATAGCGTCACCTCCACACACTTTTTGTTTTTTTTAAAAAAAGATTTTATTTATTCATGAGAGAGACACACAGCAGAGACACAGGCAGAGGGAGAACCAGCTCTCTGCAGAGACCCCACTGTGGGACTCGTTCCTAGGACCCCGGGATCACAACCTGAGCTGAAGGCAGATGCTCAACCACTGAGCCACCCAGGCGTCCCTCCACATACTTTGTTGATTGAGATAGTCACTGGTCAGCTGTGTTCAAGGGAAGGGGACACAGGCCTGCTTGCCCCACCCGCAACTGGGGGTGTCATGTAGAAGGAGGTCTTCCTTTGGAGAGCATGTGGAATGGGAACTAGCGTTGTGGGATTTTTAGCAAGTGCCTCATGGTCAGGGAAGAGCAGCTGCATGCAGAGCTGTTGTCTGCTCCTGCTGGTCTCACCCTGCCCGCCCTGCCCATGGCCTTGTGGCGTTGCAGTGAAGGTGGGAGGACCAGCCCCTTTTGGCCAAGTCTGGGAGGACTCATGTTTCCCACAGGCCTCCTGAGCAGATACCCCACTTTATGGGGAGCACTGTGCTGGAAAGGGCCGAGAAATGTGAAGGGGCTTGGTGCTGCCCGGAAAGGCCAGGGCTCACACTTGGGAGTTGGCTATGGAAAGCAGCTTGGCCTTTGTCCATAGGCTGAGCCTCCAAAGAAAATCAAAACCATCTAAGGTAAAGCCTTTCTTTGTGGCAGAGAAGAAAGAACCAGGGGCCCTTTCCGATGTGGAGGGTTTGCATTGGAAGCTTTGGGAGTCGAGGCTGGAGGACAGAGGGAGGACAAGAATGACAAGCTTTGTCACCAGGAGCTTTGTGCAGGATTTACTTGTTGCCAGCATTTACTTTTCCTGGCAGTGGAGGAAAGCATTGCGGAACCCTGACCTTTTAGAGTGGAGGGTCTTCTTGGGGCTCTTGGGGCCTGCCCAGGACCCCACCATGGTCAGGTGGTGGTGGGTGAGAGAATGAGTGTGTCTCCTGCTGCAGATCTCAGGCCAGGAGGTCACTGATGTCGCAGAAGATGCTTTCACTTGGACCTTTCCTGTCTGATCTGGCGCCTGAGCTGCGTGCAGTGGCCGGGTGTGACTGTTGCCTCTTCTCCCCCGCTGTAAAGGCGGCACACAGCGCCGCAGGAGGAGGTCGGCCAAAGTCAGGAGGAGGGAAGCCCTGAGGACCATCCACCCCAGTGAGGAAGGAAATGGAGGTCCTGCAGGAGGGGTGCAGCCTCGGAACCCCCTCGGACTCCCTGGGCCTGGCCTGCAGATTACTGCCCTTACTCACACTCGTGCCACATGCACTCCCAACCCCCCACCTGCTCACACCGTCACAGGCCCTCACTAGCACAAGCACGGATGCACACGGACATACACACACACATCCACTCACACATGGCTCCTCACACACAGATACCCCCAAACGTTATAATTCACACATGCTCACACACATGCACACACATTCCTACATGCATATTCTCGCAAACCCGCATTCACAACCACTGCACATACCCCCACCCCAGCCATCACACAGCCACATGTTCACACCAGCACCCACACCCATACCCACTGACACACACTCATGCTTATGGTTTTGCGCATGGTCACTCACACCCCTGCACTTCACACACCTACACACACACTGGATTTCATGGTGTTCATACACCCACACTCTTACACATTCCTATTCACACCCTCAGACTACTATTGTGTGCACACACCTTTACACACTTTAACACCCCAGTTACTTAATAGAACCAATTCAATTAAAGGTGAACTGTTCTATTATGTTTATCCCAGAAAATTTGAAAAATTCAGAGAAGTAGGGCAAAGGGGAAAAGCAATGACCCATATTCTCAACAGCCACAGAGAACCTCTGTTGATATTTTAGTTCATGTCCTTGGAGTCCTCGTTCCAGGCTTTTAAAAAAACGTCCTTTGGCTGCGATCACCCGACTTAGGATCCTGCCTTACACTCACGACAATAAAAGCATCCTGTGTCCTTCCAGACTCGTCAATCTAACGATGCGGTTCACTGTCACGTGGACACTGGTCCCCCGTTGTTGGACAATTAGGTTGTCTCTAATTAGCCACTCTTCCAGAGAAAGCTGCTCTGATACCCTTGTGCTAGTGTTTTTCTATATTTAGAATTCTTTCCTTAGGAGAGACTCTCGTTAGTGAAATTTCTGGATCTACATATGAATTCTTGAAGGCTGGGAGGAGCCTTCAGGGGCTGTAAAAGTGGAGTTGTATTTTGGGTGTGGGCTGAGCATCTTTCCACAGGGTGATCTGGCCCACATGTCAGTCCTCGGCTTCGGCTTCGGAGCTTGGAGGTCACCTCCCAGTTGCCAAGTTCCCCAATTCCAAATGTACTAATTACCCAGGACATCGATGATTATTAAGGCATGTAAAGTAGCAAATGCAGATAAATGAAAATGAATAAATGTCAGAGGATGTCAATCCTACCAAATGGTGATTCCCCACCCAGGTTTGCCTTTGGGTCTGGGGGAGTGGCAACCTCCAGCTGGCCATTCCCAAATTAAGGAGTGTGGTCACAGCCAGAGCCCCCCCCCCCCCACTGACTACCTGCACAGGCCTGGGCCTGGGGCCTGGCAGTGTCCCGCCAGGCCATCCATGGAGGTGAAATAAAGGGCCCCAAAGATGTCCATGCCTGAATCCCCAGATCCTGTGACCATGGTAGGTTACACAGCAAAGGGGAAGTAGGTTCTCCCATCAGCGGGCTTTGGGACAGGGAGACTAGCCCCATGTAATCCCGAGGGTCCTAGAAAGCAGAGGGAGAGCCTCTGGTATTCCTGGAAAGACCAGGACCTGAGGAACGTGGGTGGCCTCTAGGCACGGGGAAAGTCCAGGAGACGGGTTCTCCCCTAGAGCCTCTGGGACGAACTAACCCTGGTGACACCTGGAGTTTAGCCAGCAGGATTCGGGTCAGACTCCTGACCTCCAGGACTGTACGAACATTAACTCATGTTGATGTAGCTGTCAAGTTTGTGGTCCTTGACCACACTGTTGGCAACGGGCAAGGAACGCCCTGCCGCCTCCTGCCCCATCCTCCCTGCGCACAGAGCTGCCGGCCAAGAGGAGCCACAGCCACCGCTTCTGCCAAAGGGAAGGATTTCTGGTGACTTTTTTCCTTTTAATTCTTTTCCATCCTTTTCCAGATTTTCTACAACTGTCATGGGTGAACTTAATTCTGAGGTGTAAACAAAACAAAATACACACACATAGGGAAACAGGGTGAATAAAAGTAATTTCACGTAAAGCACAGTATGGAGCTCTTTTTTTTTTTTTTTTTTTTTTTACAGT